AATTGTTATTATTAAATGCATAAAATAGTCAAAATATCAACTTTTTGTTTTTTGTGTGGATTTCTGACACATTTGGAAAAAAAACCTTGAAATCAGTTAATGTAGCAAAAGAGTTAAAAGAACTATTTAAGAAAAAATCCCCCCCAAATAGCACCAAATATTAGCATATCTTTTTTCACACAGTAACACAACTAACTGTATTATGGGAGCATAGAGGAACTGGAGCCTTTCACACTGGCTACAGTCTGGTTAGGATGGAGCCAGCCAGACAAGCAAAGCTGAGAAGAGGGAGGAATAAATTAAGAAGGTCAAATAGTAAACAAGAAGAGTGGGTTGCGCCATAAAACTAGTGCAGAGCATTTCCAACAGAAAACTTTTGACAAGGCATTTAATTCCACTAAAATTTAATAAATTAGTAATTATTGAAGATTCCTGTCTATATCTCCTTAGGTGATTTTGAAATCAAGTTTCCATATATATGAATGTAAGTAATTTATTCTCACTTTTAATGAGCTACGACATACATTTGTATTTTAAAACATTTCTAAATAACTAGTTAAAAAATTAGAAAATATTCAGAATTAAATGATCATGGAAATTTGGCATGAAGATTAAGAAATGGAATCATTCTAGAAGTGCGATGAGATGGTTCATAAGGGACCATGAGAAGATATATGGGGAAAGCTTCCTTGCAATAACTGTCATCATGGAATCTTTCCATTACACACAAGAAAGAAAGAAAAATACCATTTTGCATTTGTCTCTCCACAGGACTGGATGGACCTGCCTTTCCTCCGACAGTTGGTTGGACCGAGGGTGGGACCTGAGCCAGTCAGTTGGGTGGTACTGGATCAGAGAAGGCGGTATGTTGACCCTGAGCCGCAGGTAAGCAGAATCAACAGTGGAATCTACGAGTCTAAATAACCTGGCCAGCAAAGAGTATAAGAAATGCCAGGTAGAAACCATGGTGACCTCAGAGAGAGATGGAGAGAGTAGCTGCCAGAGAACCTTCCAGTTCCATGGTGACTCAGCTGTTCTTCCTGCGGTGGACTCTGTGAAAGCCTCTTGAATCCCTTCCCCTACCATCAGCACCCTAACCCCTTACATATCATCTGTTGAGTACTGTGTCCAGTTTTAGTCTCTGAGAGGATGCACAGGTCTAGAGAAAAGCTGCCAGTGATTAATCATGTTTCTCTATCCAAATGATTCTATTGACCTCATGACTGGATTAGATATAATTTAGGAAGGATTGAAAGGTCCAATTTTTGCAGTTTGGTAAAGAGAATGCTGAGGGGATTTCTCAAATGGTTGATAATCCCTTTAAAGCAAATTCCGGTCAGCTGTGTACCACTCCATGAAGCCCAAAGAAAGGACGTGGACTTAAATTGCAGCAAAAGGAATTATAGTTGACGTATGAACAACATGGGTTTGAATTGCGTGTGTCCATTATACATGATTTTTCAGTTGACCCGTGCAGTTCAAACCTCAGGTGTTCAAGGGTTGACTCCACGGTTGGGAATCTGCATATGCAGGAGGCTGACTAGTTATGCATGGATTTTTGACTGCGCAGGAGGTGGGCACCCCAATCTGAAGTTGTTCAAGGATCAGCTGTAGATTGTTGTGAAGAATTTCTTAGAATGGTAAACAAAATCATGAAATGCCACTGACTATGAGGTTTTCTTGGAGTTCTTTAAAAAATTGGGCAAAAAGTCACTTCTTAGGATGTTTTGTATATGCAGCTATCTGGTGGTCTCACAGATTTTCTCCTATCCCTAAAAGTAAATGATTTTACTCTCAGAATGTGAAGAATGGTAGGATCAATAAGATACCAGTAGAGGAGGAAATGAGATATAGCGACACAATTGGACTGTGGGGAGGGAGAGAGGAAAATCTAAACTGACAATAAGAGATTTTCTTTCTTTAATGTACATCTGTTGAGTTGTTATCCAGTTTACCCCTTGTAACTGGTTCTCCCCTGAGGAATGGGTGCAACCCAAAGGAGTGTTCTCCCAGCCGCCGTATTTGTGGAATGTGGCCCTGCTTTTATGGGCTTAGCTGATTGGTCCAAGAGGGGCATCTAACCCAGGTTAGGCTGAAGGCTGTTTCTTGGAAATTTGAAATTAAAACTGAGGGACTAGCAGAGTAGATTGCAATATATACACTTATAAGATGTTCATGGCTATATATTCTATCATGTAAACTACAAAAAAAGAGAAAACAAGTTCCAGAGAGAAAATATAGAATGAAGCAGATGCATAGATGAGCTGAAAGGGAAGATGAATTTTGAGAATTGTACCTTCGTTCAAATTCTTTCCTGAGGTGGCTGTGTTCTCGCCCTTGGGTTCCATGGAGCATTGCTGTATACTATAGTACTATTGTGTTTGTGTGTTAAATTAGCTAGTAGGTTTTTCTGTCACTTGAATCCAAGTGTCCTAATTTACACACTTTTCCAGAACTGATCAAAATGATCTCTAACCTGCTGAAAGCCTCCTCCTTTTCCCTTAGTCATGAAAAATTGTCTGTATTGTCTCCATATCCATCTTGAATGAATGGGTCAGAAGGAACTTTCTGACTTAAGGGAGAGGTTGGATGAACACAGGCCCTGGCTCCATCACTTACTATTTGAATGATCTTGGGAAACCTTTCCGAGCCTCAGTTTTATCATGTGTAAAATGGATCAAAAGCTTCATTTGTAAAATGGGGCAAATACCTGTTTCATGAGTAGAGCTGTTCAGAACACTTTACATGTATTATCTCATTTAATAGTCACACTAACCCTATGCATATAAGTCTTCAATAAATGTTTGTAATTATTAGTAGTCTTACTTTTCAGATGAAGCAAGTTAAAAATTTTTCAAGCTCACCATCTGGTAATCAGAGCAAACCCTGTTCACTACTTTCTATAGTGCTCGTCTCACACTAAAAAAACTGAACATTCATATACCCATAATCAACACAGCCATATATCCATCTATTCCAGCTTGCCCACCCTCTGCCTACCATTATTATCATGATCCAGGGACTTGCCTCTCTCCTTCCAGGCATCCCTCAGAGAGAAGGGGTGGGGTAGTCAAAAGAAGTTGACTTCCAAGAGAAAGCAGTTGTAGTCCTAGTTTGCAGTGCCTGGAGCTTCAGACACTGTAAAACTGAAGCTCTTTCTAAAAGGCCAATCTGATGGGGCCACTCCCCTATTAAGTCCCTTTATAGACTATGGACTTCAAGATAAATTCCTTGATCACAGTCCCTCCACACTCACTTCTTTGCTACATCTTGAATTTTTTCCATCTCTCCACTCTATGTGTGCCTTCACTTCTGGGCCTTTTTTGATTGTTTTTTTCTCTCAACTCTACCCCATTCCTATTATTTTCCCTTGCCTGCCTCTTATATCTTAATCAGGACTTACTGTAGAAATCACCTTCAACAAAAATCTTCCAGATGCCCCCATGGCTTGGATAAGAGCCTCTGTCCCCTCTCGTGCCTGTACTTAGGCCATCAGAGCACTTCGTTTTATCGGATTACCTGTTTGCTTCTCTGATTTCCCTCTCTGGACCTTAAGCTACCTGGACTGTAAGCCACTAGTAGTAATCCAATCGTCCTCTCCTCGAGGAAGGGTAGAAGGAATCTCAGTCTCTCCTCTAAAAGTTCTGGAGTAGCTGCCACATAGAGCCTCATAATATATTGTTGGGATCCCAACTCAAATTATTAGACAACGATAGAGGTCAGAAACCCATGGTGAATTAAGCTTCTGCTTTTTAGGGAACCACAAAGATATTAGCTATGCCAGAAAAAAAAAAGAAAGAAAAGAGAAAAATAAACCCCTACAAACCCCAGGAACCTTGCCTTTCCACCGTCTCCCACCTCAGGTATGCACATACTTAGTAAAGAATGCATTGTGAAGCACCTATACTCTCATATGTGCCAAGGGCTAATAGGTGAGAGGACACAGTGATTAGTAAAACAGCATGAACTGTGGCTTCAGAGCTTAGAGTTTAGTGGGAGAAACAGACAATCAACCAAACACATAGATGTGTAATGAAAACCTTAATAGGTTCTCCAAGGAAAAGTCTAAAGTGCTATAAAAGCTCATAACATGGAAATCTAGATGAAAAGGTAGAGGGCAAATGTAGGACCACATCCCTGAGACAGTGAACTGTGAGGTAAGATGAAAGACTATCTAGGAATTAACTAGGCTGAGGCTGAGGAGAAGGGATAAGGGTGAGGAGCTTCCCCATCTGAGATGAGGTGGGAGGGAAGTCAGCTCTTGAAGGAGCTGAGAACAGTATAGCTGGAGCACTTCCAGAAGAGGGAAGAGTGCCTGGAGAGGTGGAAGCCCCCTGGATGCGTTGCAGGCCTGAGTTCCCCTTGTCTCCCCAAGAACACGCTCAGCTCCTCTCCGGACAAACCGTAAGGGAAAGCACTGTGGGTGGAGTTCCGTGGTCACCTCTGAGCAAACTGATAGGTGAAAATCAGTGCCGAAAAGCCTAGACTCTTTAGTAGAAATCTCAGGGTCCCAGGAACTTTGAGATAATATGTTAATTGGAAGAAAAACAAGCCTTGTCCTCCCTCTTGCCTTGCTCCCTGCCCACTTCTGGGCCAACCTCAGAGCTTTAAATCCTGTGGCTCAGCAGAGGTCTGTGGCATAAAGATGGCTTCTCTTCCCCTTGATCCTCTTTGGAGCTGGTGGGAATATGTGGGAAGGTGGTTTCTGCCCTTCTTCAAGGCCTCTCAGAGGGCTCTTAACTCCTGGTAGGCTCTCAGCCCTCCCAGTCTAACTGCTCCTACTTGTGGCTCTTTTCTGTTCTCACTGCTTCGCGTTGTGTGTATGTAAATATGTGTGAGGTTGTATGCACCGATTTTGAAAGTAGCCTTGCAGGGTTCTATGGACACCTCTAATGTCTACATTCCTACCTGATCTCTATCCTTGAGAAGCGTTTGGATTGTGGAATAGGAAGGTTAGGCTAGATCCTGATAGGGCGAGATGACTTTCTGAAAGGCATAGGGTCTTGGCATGTGGCCCAGGGACTTGGAACCGAGTGGAAAAAAAGACCAGAGGACTGTGCTTCTAAATGGAATGTTGGATGTAAGCCACATTTTGTCACTCTTCACTCACCCTTTCTCTTCAGTCATGTCAGGGCTCTACCCTTTGCAGTTCAGACATTGGTGCTAGTTTCCCCTTCTGTGCCAAAGAGCAGGGAAAAGAGGCCTGGAGAAGGGAAATGCTTGTGCTTGGGGAGGACGAACACCGTTAGCCTTCACTGAAGTCATTCTCTGTATCATGGTTCTGTCCCTCAATCTATTAGTCTCTGTACTTGGAGGGTAGGGACAGTGTCTTCTCTTTTGCGTCCCCAAGGTTCCAACATAGGTCAATAAATACTTGCTGAACAAATGAGTAACTAAACAAAGGAGCAATCAGGTTGCCTGGATGGTGGTTCTTGGATCTGAGAAGATGGTGAAGGAAAGAGGGTGCAAAGTTTTGGCGCATTTGGAGAAGGTGGCTCCAGTGACAGGTGGAGAAAAGACAGGAAAAAGGACTGTGAGTAAAAATGAAACAAGGGTTACTGATTTTGAATAGAACCTATTCACCGTGGAGATAAAAAATCCAAGTGCTTTCGTTAATAGTTTTAAGAAATTAGTCAGGATCAAGTTAATGGTCCATTCATCCTGGTTATATTATAGATAGTGAATAGCCTAAGGTCTTTATTTTGTTCTATTCTGATATTTAAGCCCTCAGAGCCCCTGAGAGTTGATACTGGGAATTTAGAAAGGAAACTTTCCGTTGGAGAATTTCCAAGTTGTCCTCTTAGAGAGCCCACTGTCAAGCTAGGCTCCAGATGTGTGGGACTAACGCCTCCAGAAGTGCTCCTTGCAAACAGAGTAGGAGCTTTAAATCCTGGTCCCATTCCTTTAGTTTCCTGTATTTTCTCAGGCCAGGAGAGAAGAGGCAAACAAATGTGTATTTGGAAAATACTAAGTAACTGTGCTATGCCAGTCAAGACTGCCTCGTCCTGCCAGGCCTCTGTGGTGGAGTTGAGGACACTGCTTACCGTCTCAGCAGTGGCTCTGAAGTCCTTCCCATTTGATACTACACAGCATTGGTCTACAGTCTGTTCATCTATAAAATAAGAAAGTGTTTTTCTTGTTTAGTTATTGTTATGGGTTGAATTGTGTCCCCCAAAATGATATGTTGGAGTCCTAATCTCCAGTACCTCAGAATGAGACCTTATTTGGAAATGGGGTCCTTATGAAAGGGGGACATTTGGACACAGAATCATACATGCACAGAGGGAAGGTAACATGAAGAGATGCAGAGAGAAGATGGCTATCATCAAACCTAGGAATATCTGAGGCCGCCAGGAGCTAGGAGAGGGGCAGGCCCGGGACAGACCCTCCCCTAGCACCTTCAGAGGGAGATGGCCCTGCTGACACTGGGATATTAGACTTCTGGCCTCTGGAACTGTGAGGTAATTAATACATTTCTGTTTTTTCTAAGCCACCCAGTTTGTGGCACTGTGTTATAGCAGCCCTCGGAAACAAATAATAGTTATTTTAAAAATTAGACTTTATAAGTCTTCAAAAAAAAGTCCCTCCAGGTAATGATTAGTTCTTTTCAAGTTCAGAATTGCAGAGGGCAGTAATCCCTGTAGACCAAGCTGTACTGGGTGCTTCTCACAGAGATGAAAAAGGACAAAAGTAGTTTTGGATAGGAGCTCTCCATGTTAATGGAAGCCTTATGATTTTCTGCTTTGGAAGAGCTTGAGTGGCCAATCTACAAGACGTGAACATAAACATCGCCAAACAGTACTTAGCAGTACTGTGTGTTTTAAAAAGTGTATGTCTATACATAGAAAAAAAAGATTACAAGGATAGATGCTGCGATATTTAGCAGAGGTTATCTCTATGTGGTAGAATTAATGTGATTTTTTTATTTGCTTATTTATTTTCCAAGCTAATATGTATTATTAATCGCCATATTGTAAAATATAGTGACTATAAAACAAAACCTGTATAGTTTTTGTTTCTGACTCTCCTGGATAGGCTGTACTTCTGGGTCCAAAGGACCTGCCAAAAGATTTTCAACTGTGGCAATCTAGTTTTTCAGGAGAAGAGTGGTCCTCCAGATCCCAATTTAAACCTGTATCACGTTTTCCTCTTTGCTGTTTTCCAGTCCGTGTTGTTTCCCATTACAGTCTGCTGTAAGGTACAACAGGGAAATTGGCTATAGTTAGTACATCATGGTCAACAGCCTCTTGAATTTTGATTGAAAGTGGCTGGTCTAGAAGCTTATAATTGGGTGTATGTGGGACTACTAAAAATAAGTGCCAACTCCACTAGTGATATTGAGTAACAAGTGGGTTGAGTATGAGCTGCTGTTTGTTGAAGGTCAGAGTGCCCATTCCTTTACTGGGACACCACTGGAAATGCGTTTATGCAGGATAACTCTCTCTAGAAAATCATTGCCAGGAACTGGGAAATGAAACTTTGGGAGAATTGCTTTTAGCAGGAGCCTAAGGGCATTCATGAGGGCACCTGGTGGTATGAGGCTTATTGGAGGGCTATATAAATAAGAAGATTAGGGCTTTTTGGGTAAATAGATTGCCATTTGGCACACTAATGTACATACGTCTGGATGATGGTCAAGGCCAGTGAGCAGAGCGGGGTCTTGGCTTTTTTTTTTCATAATCGCAGATAAACTTAAGATGGTAGCTCCCCCCCACACCCCCCCCCCACACACACACTAATTCATCAGGAGAGATGGGGGACAGTGCAGTTCTTTGGGAGGATAATTTACCCTGCTGGATGTGCCCTCTTTGATCTTAATATGAATATTTAAATGTCAGTCTTCTGCTCATTATTGCTTATTGTCTCCAGAGTTGTTCAACTTGTTCTCCTTGTGTCCTCATAAGCAGAAGCAATTATTGAACATAGCAATTTGACTAGATCCCTTCAATCTTAAGACAAAAAAACCCACAAAACTAAAAACAAATATTGGAACGTTACTAAAAGGTTGGTTTTTCACAATGCTATGGGTGTTGCAGGTCTGAAACTCTTCAAGGCTTGAGCAGATGAGCAAATGATGATTCTCACTGTTGGAGAAGGGAGATACAAATATGGAAAAGGAAGAATCCTGTGGTATAGGGTTGGAATTGCAGATGTCAGTGTGAACTCATTGTTTTTAATCAGTATATACATGCCTTTTCAGCAGTTGGAGGGGTAATGCTACTGTTGTTTTGATGCGGCTCTGCTAAAAGGCTGGGGTTTGAGGTCTGCCCAGCTCCCTTGTCCTGGACAGAAAGGGAAGCATAGTTACAGGAATCTTATTATTTAATCTCAATTTGGTCATTGGTAACTTAAGAGGCAAGGGGGAAATCACAAAGGTAGCAAGAGGAACATGTAGCTATATCAGGGGTCGGCAAACTTTTGAGACGGAAGAGCCACCAGGGGTCAGCAAACTGCGGCTCGCGAGCTGCAGGCTCTGAAGTAAAATTGAAAATGAAAATAAAACTACCATAGTTTCACTTACAAAAATTTTAAAGAATATTATTCACATAATGGTGATTATATAAAAATATATTTATGGCTCTCGAATAATTTTTAAATTGTCGTGAGGGACAGGATTGGCTCTTCCAGGGGTCGGCAAACTTTTGAGACAGAACGTACCCAAAGAGCTGCATGTGGCTCGTGAGCCGCAGTTTGCCGACCCCTGATCTATATTGTGGATTAACTCCTTTCTTCTTAAAAGGCCAGGCCATGCAAATGCGTGTGGGATCTCTAATACAGATGGACCTAGCGGGGTAACCTGAGACCATTTTCTTATTTATATGTTTTACATTGGACTACTGTGTGATTAAATTTCTTTAATATCCAGAATAAAGCTCGTATGATACAGAAAAGCAGCCCAGCCTCCACATCCTTTGCTGTGATCCCAGTATTTACAGTAGACGCCTGGATATTCAAATCCAGAGATTAGATACAGATTTCACAATTACAAAGAGCGGAACATCGTTATTACCCTCAAAGGACAGTCACCAAACGAGCAAAGCAGAGACCAGGAATATTGAAAAAAGGCTTGAACCAAAAATTGTACTGAAAACAGATCCCTCGACGAGCCATCAAATCACAGCCAAGGAGAAACACAATGTTAGCGACAGTGCAGCATTTACTATTGTAGGTAGCTAGTCAAGGCTGTATGTAGTTTACCGTGGACAGAGCTTAGGAGACTGGGGGCAGCAAATATTTGAGATCTGCAGTCAGCCCATGCCCCACCCACCTGTTGTGTCCCTGTAGTTTATAGTTGGATGTGTTTGTTCTGACAACTCTACCGGAGGCCCTGTGCCAGTTTCCCCTAGTAGTTTGGGCATTTTTTTTTTTTTCGTCTATGTCAAAGGGCATAGGTAGTGTGCCAAACTAGCAGCCTCCCAAAGCCAACGATAAAGAAGGAAGGAAGCAAAGGCCTCTCAACTAATTTCACAGATGATGAACAAAAAGGCTCAGTCCTAGGCAACTGTGGGGAGCAAAAAGTGTACCTCCAACCCCCAGCTTCTCCACCTGTTCTGCATTCTTTGTTTGAATTAGCTTGTTTCTCTCTGTGAACAATGAATGCCCAGTGTGGGCTCAAAGTGCTATCTATTTTTCTTTCTTTCTTTTTTTTTTTTCAAAGTGCTGTTCTCTTGGGGGGATTTTAATTTTTCTCAGGAATCAAAGCCTTAAACTAAGAGAACCGACTGTTTATGTGGAGTTGGTGGAGCAGGTTTGCTCATGGAGTCACACCCTGTTGGCATCTCGTTGGCCTGGGAGTCTTTCCTGGAGGACTGAGCCAGTTAATGACTAATCTCTACCAAATTCTTGGCAGGTGTCAACTTGCCCTTCACAAAGGCTCAGCAGCTATATCGCTTCCAAGATGTGTCACCCCAACACCGAGTCCCTGTAGGGCTGGCAGAGTGTCTTGGGTTTCTACTGAAAGCCCTGAAGCCTTCTTGGGACTTTGTGGATGAGGCTGAGTGGCTTTTCAGTGGTAGGTTGAAGGTCTCTGATACTCGAGTACATACTCAATTCCCAGGACAACTAAACTAGCTGTCTTTACGTCCTCTTAGTGAATGAGGCTGAAACAGAACTGGCCTGTATTAAGTGAAATGAAGTCTGGAGATTTTTAAGCACAACTGCGGATGGAATCAACATGTTGAATAAAGAGTTTCTGTCTGGCAGGAGTGCTTCATCTTTAAACCCCCCTTGGGTGTTCCACTGCTGCTTTCCTTGTGGATCTTTTAAGTGTATGCGCTATTGTGTAGTTTCAATTTCTTGCATATTGGTTTAATTTTCAGGATTATCCAAGACACATCTTAGATTCAGTTTGTTTATATACACAGAGATTTCAATTAAATTTGATTTTTAATAATCCTGATACTCTAATATAGGTAATATTGGTGACTTATTTTTATACATTATTGTGACCTTACATTCTGTTTTTAAAGATTTTTTTGTTTTTAACGCCCATAGCCAGCTTCACTGGACCTCGATTGTACTTTTTTGGACTCATTTTTGACCATGACTGTGGATAGGAATGAATTAGTAAGTCACTTCTGAGCCATGATTGCAGGATCTATATAAAAAAAAAAAGAAAACCTTTCTCCTGCTCTTCCCTTCACTTTTGGCTGGAGGCTACACAGCAACCTGCTTGGGGCTGGGTGTGAATTGGGGTCTGCTGAAGGGCCCTGGAAGAAGTTCAAAAGCATGAAATGAAACCAGATTTGTTTTCCGTATTTTGCCTCAGGTTTGCCTTGCGAAGGGATTAGAAGGTAAGATCTCTGAAAACAATTTCAGAGAACCATGATGAAATAGCCTGGAGATCTTGACCCAGTGGAAGGCCTTTTACAGCTAGTCTTTTTAAGAACAGAGCATGAATAAATGGGTGCAAATGGACACCAAATTGAACACACAATATTTGTTTAGATAAAAGGAAAAAATTCCCACTGGTAAAAACTAAAATAACTGACTGCAGAGACTTGATCATCTTTATTAGCAGAACAGAAGTCCCTCTCTAGGCCTGGGCGTGATCAGGTCTCAGTGTCTTTCCAGACCTTTCAGCGAGGAAGGATGGTTCTGGGGGGACCAGCATGGTTCCAGTGGGTACCAGGAATGGGCACTGGTTGTGAAAGGGAAGAGCAAGAGCTTTGTTTAGATGTAGGGACAGGAAAACATACCGCAGTACAGAACACACAATAGCTGTGTAATAAATACTTTGTAAATAAATACTGATCAGTTTATAAAGGCAGTCTTAGAAGCCAGTTGACTATCACTCCTGTTACCAGGTGACACTGACTTACATTCTTCTGGTTCTCACTGGTATGAGGCAACGTCATAGACATATGTATGGCACAAAACTCTGACAGGTTTCTACAGGGGAAGGTTTTCAGCTGGTGCCTGCTGTTCCCCACAGAAGGTTAGACAAAAGCTCCCTCAGTCATTGTTCATTCTGATCTAGCGTGCCTCCTCTTGTGAAGGGCCACGAGTCTGTCTCTTTACTTCAGTGGCACACTCCAGTGGCATTGGGTGACCTTAGTCATAGACAAGTATCATCCAATATGGCAGCAGTTATGGCTGCTGTGACTCCTTCCCTTTGGCCACAGACCTGGAGCCTTTACGAAGCCCTCAGGCACTCAAAATAACAGATATCTGTTTTGAAAATAAACAATCCAGAATTAATTTGCCCATGCTCAGAGGAAGTTTCTTTCTAGGGGAGTCATTAACTTTTCAGGGGAGCTTGCTGTTCCCCTGCCAGTACAACTTCTCTTCCACTTTTTTCTTTTTCCATCGGCAGAGAAGCAGCATCTTAAAGGTCTTCCTGAAGGTTCTGTTGCAGAGTGCATAGCAAATGGGGTTGACAGTGCTATTGACATAGCACAACCAGTAGCCTAAGTGCCACAGGGTGACTGGGACACACTTGTCGCAGAAGGTAGAAACGAGGACCATGATGTTATAAGGGGTCCATGTGATAATGAAGGCCAGGAGAATGGCACTCAAGGTCTGGGCTGCTTTCCTCTCTTTAATAAGAACCATTCTCTTTCGTTTGGTCATTTGATGGCTGAGGTTGGGATCGAGGCCTTTCGTTGAAGGGTCCTTAGACACTGGGGAGGAGCAGGGCATGATTTTCACCTTGCGACAGCCGTTGTTGGTCTCCTGGGTCCCATCAGCTTTTACCACCAATCGGAACTTATAGGCCACACATTTCTGTCTCTTGGGTCTATGAGCAGCAGCTGGAGACAGGAAGTATTTTGGGGTATTGTAGTCATTTTTTTCAGTTTGGCCTTTCACAAAAGTTTCCTTGGTCTCTTCAGCACTGAGTTCTTCCTTTGGGCTTTCCTGGGCCTGAGCCTTGTAGACCACTTGGAAGACAGGGTCAGTGGTGGGCTTGTCCTCGTCCTCTGAGGACGGGTAGCTGCTGCAGGTAGTGAGCTGCTCAGCTTTGTCCCACTCGGTGCTTGGGCCAGTGGCTTGGGATGGCTTCCCAGTGGTGGAGGTGCTCCTGCGGGAGGATGACCAGGAAGCTTGGTTTCTTTCCCTGTGGGCCAGTGTGGGCCGAGGGCAGCTAAAGCAGGACCTGAGCAGAGCCTTGTGAGCTGGCTTTCTCTTCTCAGTTTCAGCCACAGAGTCAGAGCCCTGGAGGTCAGCAAGGTCCTTGGTGCGCTTCTCTGTTTCCCGGTAGATTCGGCAGTAGAGAATCGTCATGACAGAAACAGGAATGTAGAAGGCGGCAATGGCAGTGCCAAAAGTGATGGTGGGCTCAGAGAGGAACTGGATATGGCACTCATCTGGTGGTACCGTACGCTCCCCAACCAAATACTGCCAGCAGAGGATCGCGGGGGCCCAGAGGATGAAGGAGATCAGCCAGGCCAAGCCAATCATGATGCCGGCCCTCTTTGGGGTCCGCTTGGCCCGATACGTAAGGGGTCTTGTGATAGAAAAGTAACGGTCAAAACTGATCACCAGAAGGTTCATGACCGAAGCATTGCTGGCTACATAGTCCAGTGCCAGCCAAAGGTCACAAGCCAGACTGCCCAGAGCCCAGCGCCCCATGAGGATGTAGGTAGTGTAGAGGTTCATGGAGAAGACCCCAATGATGAGGTCTGCACAGGCTAAGCTGAGCAGGTAGTAGTTATTAACTGTCTTCAGCTGGCTGTTGATTTTGAAGGAGAGCATGACTAACACGTTGCCCACAATGGTGATCAGGCTTACCACGGCGGTCACAGCGGCGATGGTGATGACTTCCCACAGTCCATGGCGTTCCAGAGGCTGGTGATTTACGGGGGTGCCATTGACAATGGTTGCATTGTGGTAAGAGTCTCCTTCCATCCTGGTGCAAGAATTTACATTAGGAGTGAGTCAGGTTCTAGTCTGTTCTCTTTTCTATCTCACCTCTTCTCAGGTAGTATCTGGAAGAGAGGAAAATACATTAGCTTCACTTGTCAGCATGAATTTCTTTTCCACCTATTGTTTATTAATTTCTAACAAAATATTAAATGTGGTCCCACACATATTCAGCGCAAGATGCTGAAATCTCTAAAGTTTCGATAACATTTTAATATCCCTTTGCTTTTTATGATTACTTATGCCTGAGAGTCTTTCTTGTACACGAGGCTGCTGCCCTCTTGTGGTTCGCACAGGCAATTTTAAAAAATGGCTGGGAAGGTGATGAGGGCGAAGGACAAGGAAAGAAAAGGATTGGATTGTTGGGGAGTAGTAATAAGGGGAAAGCAGATGTGATTAAGTTACCTTAGACTGCAGTGGCCTTAAGGACAGATACTTTTTAAGCTGGTGATAAGTACCTAGTCTGTCATGCACTGGGGAAAAAGACAAGTTATATCAACTCTAAAGTCCAATTATTAAACATTATTGAGACACTGTTGTGAGCCAAGACTGTATTATGACACTTCTCTCTGACAATGCACAAATTCCCAGTGGGTACCTGGTTTTCATTTAGAGGGCTTGAAATTTGCCTCAGCTGCTGAAGATGATGACCTTCCCTTCATTCTTGGGCTATTTGCAGTGTCATAGAAATGTTTTAAATTACCTTTTTGTCTGATTATAAAGTAATATGCTTCTTGTAAAAGTTCAAGCAATGTCAAACATTGGAAAACAAAAGTCTCTAATTCTTTCTTGCATAGGTACTCAGTGCTAACAGTTTAGTGTGTATTTTGACAGCTTTTCCCTATGCATACACTAACCAACATTTAAATACAGTTATTTTTAAATGGGTGGATTTTTAGTGTTTACACTGAATTTTTTTACTTAAAAAATTGTCATAGACTTTTTTTGTATCAGTGCATCTTTGGATCAAAGCTATTTTTTTTTTGCATTTTAATGATTGCACATTATTCCACTTAATGGATGTATTATAATTTATTTAATCAATCCCCTACTGAAAAATTCCAACTTTTAAAAATAAACGGACAATTTTCTTTTCAGATTAAAAATTCGTGTACATGATTTAAAAAAGTGTCAATGGATACAAAAGGGCAAATGGTAAAAGATAGATTTATGTCCCACCTCTGACCTCCAAGCTCCCAACCCCCTTTTTCTAGAGGTAGCCACTTGTTACCATTTATCTGTCTTTCCAGAGGGCTAACATGTAAATACAATATTTATTTGATGGTATGTGAAAAATATTATGTTAATTACAAAATTCCAGGCACCACGACATGGTGATAGATAGTGAAGGAAGAAGAGTCTGATGACCCTCAGAGTGTGCTATGTGGCAGTTCCTGCTCTGTCTGCTGGCCAGACCTGGCACTTCTTTGATGACATTAATTGATCTAAAGATGACAAATTTGTGAAGGGCTATAGATTTTCTTTGTTTTATATTTTCAGCTGTATTTTAAGAGTTTTTAAAATCTGAAACTCAATATGGAATTGATGATGTTGTCTTGTGACAGAATCCAGATTCTCCCGCCTTCCTCATTTTGCACCCTTGTCTTTCACATCCCAGCTAGTGCAGTCTGATTTACCCACGAAATATCTCTCTGAATGGTCCCTTCACAGTCCTGCTGCTGCCACCCTGGTCCAGTCTCCTGTCACCTTATACCAATAACTCTTGGGTGTTATCAACACCCAAAAGCTGGCAAAGTAAATCCCAAGGATGCCAGGTCACTAGACAGGGACTCCCCAGCACCTGAAAAGACCAAAGTTACTCTGTACCCTACAATTATCTGGGCAAGTGCTATCACAGACTCAGACCTACAGAAGGGGCCTCCAGAATTTTCTTCTTTTTCTTTCTTTCCTTCCTTTCTTCCTCCAATGAATATTTACTGACTGTATATTAAGTGACAGACTGTAGTGCTGAGGATACTATGGACCCAGACACTAGGGGGGAGATAGATAAATACTCCATGCCCAAGGGGCACATGTGAAGGACTCTAACCTAGTCCAGTGAGGGTGAGGGAAGCAAGTGCTGAGGAAAACATTTCTAAGCCAAGACTTGAAGCAGGAATGGGCTTTAACTAGACAAAGGGTTGGGATGGGGTGAGGAGATGTTTCAGCCCCAGAGGGGAAGAGCTTGTTTGTAAGACCAGAGGCAAAAAGGAGGCTTCAGAAGTGAGAGATGAGACTGGAGAGGGTAGGGTTGGGGTGCAGAAGGGACGGGAGTAGACTTGAGAGAAAGCCGCTTTCTGGGAGAACAGTGTCAGCTGTTTCCAGACTCCCCATCTGCTCTGAAGGTGGCCCCAGCATCCAGGGTGTTGGGAGCATTAGTCTGGAGACATACTAAAATGAACTGACTGCTTGCTGAGTTTTTCTGTTCAAGTCTTCCAAAAAGAAATAAATGGTGTTTTGGAAGGATTTAATTTTCCATTTAATTTCATTGGAAGGTAGTGATCAATTTATGAATGGTTCTGGGAATTTGGGTGTGTGTATTCTCCTGTGAATACATGTGTATAAACTGGCTGCTCATCCTCTCTGACCTAATTCCGTATTTGCAAAAATAAGGAAATTGGACTATGGGACCTAAGATACCTACATTTCTGATTTTGTACTTTATATAATGTGATGGTTTATTTTAAGTGTCAACTCCTTGGCCAAATCCGTCTAGATGTTGGTATGAAGGTATTTTTTAGACGTGAATAACATTTAAATCAGTAGACTTCTAGTAAAGCAGATTACCCTCCATAATGTGGATGAGCCTCATCCAATCAATTGAAGGTCATCAGGCAAACAGCTGAGGTCCCCCAAGAGGAAGGAATTGTGCCTCCAGATTCAAGATTATGACTCCTCCTGGAATTTCTAGCCTGCTAGCCTGTCCTGCACATTTCAGATTTGCTAGCCCCCCCAATTGTATGAAAACCAATTCCTTAAAAATTTCTTTCACTGTTTCTCTGTGTCTCTTTCCCTCTAGTAAATGGAATAAACACTTTGATAAATGGAAAAGAAGATGACTTATAGTGGCAACATCATCTCATAATCATACAACTGAATCTGGCATTGGGCCGCTTCAGTCTCAAAACCTAGTTCCGTTACTTACTGTTTGACTTTAGGCATATTACTTAACCTGTCTAGATTTCAGACTTTTAAACTTTAAAGTGAGGCTAATAAGAGTCCTTACCTCATAGGATTGTTTTAAGGAGTACTTGAGATAATCCACATTAAGTGTTTCTCACAATGCCTGACACAGGGAAAAATGTTCATTACAAAGTAGCAATCTGGCAGGAAGGACATCAAAATCACGCCTCCTGTGTGGGAGTGGGTCTGAGGCATGGTCTATTAAGGGACAAGGTGGGATAACATGACGAGGCAGTACTCTTGCTGTTCTGAGCTGACTGTTTGAGAATGCTTCATGGTGCTAACAATACTTTCCCTTCAATTTGTGTAGCTGCTGTTCTACCTCTAGGGGCAAACAGAGCAAATGGTTTCCAACCAGTAAAGCAGAACAACCTTGAAGAGAGCCAAGGCGAGCACAGCCTTTCACAAAATCTGCCCATTAGAATAGGACTACTTCAAGATGCTTACTGAAAAAAATGGCTCCATGGTCAAGTAAGTTGAGAAAAATGCCATGTATTATATTGGAAGCTCTCAGACATGCACAAGACGCCTTAGCCCAGTGAAGGCTGAGAGATCCTGCAGTCAAGAACACTGTTTAATTTGGTTTAACCCAGAGGTGGCTGAGCGTATCTAACCTTTTCCAGGAACATTTGTTAGTATCCTGTGGAATCCATGTATCACACGTGGGCAATGCAGTGTAGTAGGAAACACACTAAAGAGTATGGAGATCTGAGTACTCATTTTGGCTTAAATCTTGTGATTTGAGACAAATCTCTAGGCCTTAGTTTGCTAACATATAAAATTAAGAGATTGGAATTGATGATTTATCCTTTCAAATGCTTTTAGCCTTTTGCTATAGATTCACAATGGAAAACATCAGATACTGTATTACTTTTAGACCTCAACTTTCCTCTATTCTCAGCTAGGGAAATAGCTATTGGTTGGGGCCCTGAATGTGTAGTGAAAGCAGCGTTTGGCCAGTGAAAGCATTGTTGAGTTCTGCTTTCTCATCTGTTCAGTGGTTTCCCAGTGTCTGCTCTATCTACCTGACAGAGTTGTTTTGAGGACCCCAAATGAGATAATGTACGGAAACCACCAGGTCCTATTCCAACGTCAGTTTTGGTTGTAATTATTATAAAATGAAGCGTTAGTCGAGGTACTTGGATCACATCACAGGCCGCTCATTAGAATCATCAGGAGCTTTAGAAAAGTACTAATGTCCAGGCCCCAGCCCAGACCTGTGAACTCTGAATCTGTGTGGAAGGGCTTGCACATCACGTGGTTTTGGAATTCCTCAGGTGATTCTCATGCGCAGCCAGGCTATTCACAGTGGTTGATAGAGGGGCAGTATTGGCATTACCTGGGAGCACGCTAGACTGGAATTAGGGCTTCTGAAAATGTAACATGCTAACAAATTACATGGAAGATCTTGTTATTACATTGCAGGAGGTTGGGGCTTGCAATTCCACAGTTCTCAAAAGCTCCCAGGTGCTCTCTGCTGCTAATCCATGAGGCATACTTGAAACAACAGGGCTGGGGATAATTTCTGAACTTCCTAGAAAAGAGGAACCATAGCTTTCAAAGGTGCTGTTGAAATTGGAGTTTTCCAACTGAAATGTGCAGCAGTAACACTGGATCCCCGCTGCCTTCCAAAGACATTTGAGTTTATTGTATTTCTACTGTATGGAATTATTATAATACAGATTTCCTTTCCAGGTTTGCTCCACTCTATTTGCATTTTTTTTCCTGCCTCGTTTTTGAGAGAATACTTTCCCCTGATTTCTGAGCTGCTGGAAATGGACATCTCTTTCTACAGAAAAGGCATTTGGGACATGACTTAGATTCCACAGCTGAAGGATTGATTTCTTTTTGTGGGTGATAGTTGAGGGTGCAAACCGAGTTT